AACGAGTCCCTTTGAAATTGCACATGAGTATAAGATGTCTTCTTTTGCCCCATAAATGTTTGGCTTGCTCCACCCCCCCCCCCCCCCCCAAACAAACTAAAACCTTCTGATCGTTTCCAAAGTTTGTAAATACTTTGGGGCTTCAAAGCTCAATACAAAGTACTTTTTAAAACCCAACGTTGGCTCAATGTAATTTTAGCACGCTAAAATTTTTTGGTGATGGATAACGAGTCCCTTTGAAATTGCACATGAGTATAAGATGTCTTCTTTTACCCCATAAATGTTTGGCTTGCTCCACCCCCCACCCCCAATTTTTTTGTGCTGGCGCCGCTACTGGTTGTATGATTTTGTTTTTAATTTAGATGTATCATAATAAAATTCCAGCAAGAGTAAAATTGGAAGTCATACTTACTTTTGGAAGCTAGTTTACACAGTATGATGTATGGGTGACTGACATGGTGGAAAAATGCACACTGGGAATAGATTTCCTGCAGAAACACAGATGTGATCTTAGTCTAGTTTCATAATCTATGACCATTAAATCCATGTGCAGTACAAGACAATTACACCACCAGTGACTGAACATTCAGTGGTAACAAAGATGGAAGCAGAAGATAAGGAAAACCTCCAACCTAAAGACCAATAGAGAAGAATAGAAAAATACAGATGGTCCAAGACAAAGATTGTCCATCAGGATCAATATTTCAATGTAAGTATATATATGATGGTATTGCCCTTACTAAAACCATCAGAAAGTTGCAAGATGAAACATATTGTATTTGAATCTTTTAAGAGTTTAATATTGATTTTAGTTTCATGATCATCAGGGTCTCTTTGATTCTTACATCTTGCTCATTTTTGGAACTACATATGTCAAAGTTTATTTCATCAGCAGTTTTATCACATTACTGGTCTAGATGTTTGTAGATATTTTTAGAATTACCAGCACTCAAATCTATTGGCATTTACTGTATTTTAGTTTTAATGTCTTCCAAAGTTTACTAGAAACTTTGGAAGATAAAAGGAGTGCTCAGAAACTTTATTTTTCTCTTCACCCCACTCGCTAAATATGATTAATCTATATAATGAAGATTGAAAATTTTGTGCTAAAGGCCAAAGTTTTTATACACTTGATTAATAAATTTCTGGATGGACTGCTAGTGAGTCTATATAACATAGCATGGGTCTTTGTGACATTATGACTCTAACTGAAACCATTTCTGTAGCAGCACATTACAAAATTGTGACTTCAACTAAGTTGCCAAGCAAAACATAGACTTGCAGAAGTAACTACAGTGGTCCTGTCAGAAACACTGCAACTGGTTTCGCTGATCCCACTTTACAGAAAGCCCCAGTAGATGGCACTAAACCAGGAAACATCATACAGGAATTCAACTTGGCCCAAACTGGTCATCAGTCAAATTGGAGAGGTACCTTGAACCTGACCCATTACCTGTGCTGATGATTTGGATTAACAGCAATGCCTGTAAAGTTATACAGAGGTGAATCATAGTTTTTAGTTGATACTGATTCGGCTAAACTCGATCTCCCAGGGTATCGGTCACTATCATGTACACAACTATTCTGACCAGTAACTACAGACTTTTTTCATAAATGGTGCTCAGCTAGTAGTGAATACAGAGCTCGGCTTGCATCACTGTTAGCGAGAGTTGTAATAGCAGTTCTCGCTTTGTGCATCGGCCTTTTAAGTTTAGTTTTGTTACAGATGTTATCTGTTAGTACAACTTGTGTATTAGGAGAACTACGTCTTTGTAGTGAAACCATAAAGTGCTGACCAAAGTACGCTCAAGAGCCATAAGCTACGCAAGTGTATGTAGATGAAATCTTTGCAATTCCATTTAATGCACAAGTAATAATTTTCAGTGAAGTGCGAACACAACTTCATGTAGCAACACCAGCAAATTTCGTGGTTGAAGCAGAGAAACACAATTAAAGAATGATATCCTCAATAGTAAAATATAATATGGTTATGGATTGTAATTATAGAATACAAATAGTGGAGCTACTAGCTTGAATGATTGTAGGCATGATACAGAAATGGAAAAAAATTGAAACTAATGGTCCAACTAGAGTTACTAAGGTCACATAAAAGAATGAATACCTGGTTATCAGTACACTTAAGACAACTAATCAAATATTGTGCAAATAATCTCAGTTCAAATCATCGGTGAGAACTCGGAACATTACTGGCGAATTTTGCAGATGTTTTCATCAGAACAGATGGTTGGTTGATAGAACTAACTTCACCAAGCAGCATATACATACCAGAGGTATATGGTCTATGAAGTAACCACCACACAGGTTTCCCTGGAGCACGAGGGATATAGCCAATGCTGAAATAGATTGGATACTGAAGGATAGGATTATTCAACCTTCAGACAATGCTTAATTGTCACCAGCAGTTAGCATATGAAAAAGGAGGCACTTCAAAGATCTGTCTGTACTTCAGGCAGGTGAATGCATTTCTGTTTCTCCATACAAATGAATATTTGGATACACTAAGAAGATCCCACTGGTTATGTTCAGTAGATCTCACCAGTAGTTATAATGACACTCTGAAGGGGAAAGTGTGTCGTCAAGTGTAATTAATATGCAAATGTTGTCCTAATTAATGGTTAATTAATTAAAGATTAATCAATTAATTAGGTAGATGTAAATTATAGTAATTAATGTGTAATTGATAAACATTAATTACAGGTTAATTAATTAATTAAATGGATGATTATTATACAGGTAAGAATCAAATTTAATATCAATAATTAATATCCAAGCCCTTGACGTCAGCAGATATTTTTTCCAAAAAATTAGGTTGTGTTTACCACTAAATATATTATCATACTGCGAAATAAGTTCGATTTGTATGTGACTTTATCTTTGGATACCAAATGAATATATTATGTTTATTAATATGTCATTTATTACAATTTAATACCTTAACAAACAGCAAGACTATTATTGTATATGTGTATACTATATCATCGTTCTGAATAAAAAAGAACAACATAAGAGTATCTTGTATGTGTTTATTTGTATTATTTCACAACAATGATCTAGCTATTTGGACTACAATTAATGGTAAATCCATGGAAGGAACATTCACATGAAAATGTTTTTCAACAAATTTATGAAGAGTCACATC